TTTTTATTATTTTTATATTTTTCAATATATTTATTTTGTTTGTACAAAATAAAAAAATAATTTTTAACGATACAATAGTCTTTGTTAGGCTTAACATCGACGAAAATTCAACGCGAAACGACACGCAACGGAGAAAAATTTCGAAATCGAATACGTTAAACTATTTTTTCGTACGTAAATCAGTTATCCGGACAACCCCAGTCCCCAATTGATTCGGAAAATCGACGCTCTACTGTAATTATATGTACAGTACCTAATTTATATATAATACTGTACAGACGATAGTTAAACTCAACTTATCTTCCTAAACTCTCCGTAGCGTGGCGCTAGACGGCGGAAAATAGTTCGGCTGCTCGTCCGCGATGACGAGTTGGCGATGACGTTTTACGCGTCGCTTTATACGAATTCTGCCGCAATTTTTTCGCCGCGTCATTGGAATCTACGTTATTGGAACCCGCGTTATAGGGGGGTCTACTGTACTCAAGATCTTTCTGTAAGTATTTTATAGCCAATTTTACTGCCACTTTTTTAGCAGTCAGTGAAACCTCTTTACTGTTCTTTCCGCTTTATCAATGTTCCGAAATATTCGGTTTAATCAAAATTACAATCGATAATAGAACTTCCGAAACGCATTTATGAAAATAAGGATGTAAAATTAAAACAGGCAGGCGTTAAAATGAAAAATGTTCCACATAGAAGATCAGCATTTATATACTCGTATTAATTAATATATCAAAATATGTACCAGTGCGTACCGGTACGTACGAAGGTTTAGAGTTGGAACGATTGTGTTTAAAGAAATTAAGTGTCAGCAAGGTCGTGAGATCCGCTACAGAGAAGGACAAGCGATCAACGTCAATGTCCTTTTTTTGAAACTCTTCCCATTGCATGGGACTGAGAGGCTTTTTCAGCAAGCCCATTATGGGTTAGGAAGGCCCTCAATGTGGCAACCGTGTGGTGAGGGAAAAAACTCGACATATCCGGAGTTTTTGGACTTTTGCGGATTCGATCCCGGATCCCCCAAAGCAATACACTATACCTTAAACGCTCGAGCATCTTGCCTATATACTTATAGGCAAGATGCTTTGCCTATATACTTGCCTATAACTTGCCTATACTTACCTATACTTACCTTATACTTACCTTATACTTACCTATACTATAACTTGGCCTATACTTACCTATAACTTGCCTATATACTTATAGGCAAGTTATTTTGCCAGTACAGTATCAAGAAAAATAAAATTCGTACTCTTAGAAGACGCATAGTGTTATATGACCTTTCCCTACGACTGTAATACTTTTCTAATTTATAGGATATTTATAAAATTACAACATGTTTTATCTAAATTATATTACAATTTAATAACTGATTCTTAAAGAAAGAAGTTCAGAAGAAATCCATTCGTATAAATTTGTGAAAATCCATTTTCTACGATTCCCGTATACACTTGTTTTCAAATTTTTTTATAAAATTATACTTGTTTTCAGTTAATTATAATAAAGATTTTTATAAGAACTTGAAAAAAATTTAAATTCCTAAATAAAATTTAATATTTTACAATCACGTAAATTAGATTATCTCACTTATTTACCATGATCTGGTACCAAAAGAGATCCACGGAGTGACTCATGAAAAGGGCCTTCAAGAGGGAGGAAGAGCAGGGAATTTTTGAAGTGGTCGTAATGATTCCGATCCTTATTTTTACTAACAGGAAATAACATATTTAAGGCTATTTTTATTAATAAAAAAATGTACTATTTATTTCATTTGTTCGAAAAACAAAAAGTCTAAAGGGGTTTGCTAAGAGACAAAAGGAGCCCACTCTATCCCCGGGACCTATATACCACGAGTTACAGCATTTGCTGATAACAATCCTAGTAACGGCTGTGGTAATACTATGCAGTACACATAGCAGTCAATAGATAATCAATTGACTCTGCTTATACTTGAAACACCTGTACTTAACGGTAATTCATAAATACAGTATTAATCAATTTTTTAATAATCATTAAGTTTTGTTGTTTAAGCGTATATGTAAATTATTTCCTATATACATTAATTTTCCTAATTATTATTATTTTTATTGTAGATTCATTTAAAATTTAATTGATATATTTTCTTGTATGAAGCAAGCCGTTTATTCCCCTAGAATTAACATAAAAGTATTACGAATAAATCAAATTTAACACGTTGAGTAAATGTAAAGCATTCATTTATTGTTTAATGAATAAAATAATTAAATAAACCATAAGAATTAAATTTTAATCGACTTAATAATATATAAACTATATAATTATTTTATTTTTTAGAAATGAATTAGTAATTCTTTCAGCTAAAAAAGCAAATGAAAGCAGCAAGAATTTTTTTTAGAAGCTTGCATAAATTTTTTGTTTTGTTTAGAATTATTGCTCTTTAATTCTAAACAATATATGTATATATATGTATTGTGGAATATAAATCATATAAATTATGTATATAACATAATATACAGATACAAATGTATGTTTATCTGTACTATTTATAACGTATTGCAATTTCTTCCGTTGATTTTAATTGCAATAACAATGCTCTAAAATAACAGAAAATATAAAAATATAGGGTGATGCTTTTTAATAATAATACAGTAATAATAGTGTTAGATAAGTTAAATCTATAGATAAAAACGATCTGAAAAAAAAAATCGTTGCAGACTCATATTATCGCCATTTGTTATCAGATGAACAAAGGTTAGAAATATTGTTTTAGATGAATCACTGTAAAATATAAACAGCAAGAGTAAAGACACGCGTATGTATGGGCGCGTTGCCTGGTAAAGCGATTTTAATACAGCTTGATAAGCAAGCCAATGATATAACCTGTTTTAAATGAAACGAGCTATGTCATTGGTTTGCGTATCAAGTATTAAAGCCGCTTTACTAGGCGACGCGTTTGTTTATGCATAGATTATAGTAACCTATTACGACAGATTTTATAGATATAAAATGATATAAATTACTTTCTAAAATGCCAGATTATAAGACTCGGCGTTTTCTTTTAATTCAATTTTTACAAATTACAATCGCCTATTTTGAATATTTAAATGTACAGTACGCATTTCCGATCCGTACACGCTCCAAATTTATTGTAAATAAGTCCATTTTATTACAGTTCTTTTTATAAATACAACTTACACAATGAAAAGTATTTACTACACTTTTAATATTATTAATATACCGTGAAATATATTATTAAGATGCATTTTTATTAGATATCAACGCCATTTAATAACATTCGAATTTGTTCATAAAAATTTTTAAATATAATTAAATTATTTTCTGTAATATTTTTTTATGTTTATTTATTCAAAATTTCATGTTTATAGATTGTGTTTAAAGCCTGATTTAGATTAAAATTTTGAATAATTATTCGAAAAATAGCCCAAACCTGTAATCTGGTAGTCGGATCATCCTGGCAACGTTTCTTGGCTCATACTGGAAATCACGTGTCGGCTAATTTAAGACGTAGATTTTTAGTTTGTAAGAGAATTGTCTTCCTTTTCGTTATTCTATCGCATTAACCATGGGTAAGTTTGTATAATTTAAAGGTTTATCCTTAGGGTTTCCTTTATAGGTAAGAACTTTTATATATATTGCTACATTCTTTTGATGGTCGGATATTAAGTTTTGCTACTCTCTCTCTCTCGTGATATGATACAGGTAAACGGAAAGGTAATACGAAAGAAATTAAACAGAATGTTGTAAAATCTAAGGAAAAAGAAAATGCAGCTTCGTATTGTAACGTAACGGTTTCGAACATTGGAACTAAAGGAAAGAATTCGGAGAATGTCAGGCGGGCTTCGAAACACGACGACCACGAAACTGCCACCATTCTAGTCGTGAACGAGAACGATCAGAAGGAAATACACGTTCATAAACACATTCTTGCTAATTCTAGTCCGAAATTTAAAGAAATACTCGATGGGGAAGCCGAAGACAAAAAAATCGTAATCGAAGGAATTAGTGAAAAAGATGTTAAATTATTTCTCAGGTAAGTCAGAAAACAGTTTAACATCTTTGGTATAACATACTTATTTTTACTGTATTTATACATCCACACACAATACTTAGTCAAAGTATATTTATAGGCTACATACAGGTAAGTTTCTAGCTTTGACTGAGGCGGTTGGGATGTTATCATTGACTGTTTTTACTCCTATATGCACTGTCTACAACTCTGATAAGCTCCCAGCTGCCTCATTCAGAGCTAGAATCTTACGTACACGCATACTTTGTTGTAAAAATAAATTCTCCTCGTCAGTGTTATCCGCCATATTCTTTTCAAATGCGTTCTTCCCCATGCTAGTAGTCTCGTGCGACTCCAATTTTGCTTATTTTGATATATTATTTTGTGAATATTCTAAGTATTTAAACGTGGATTCTAAAGTTGCAAAAATTATCTGAAAAATATTGCTCTACATTTTTTTCTGGTACCTAAACACTGATAGAACCTGTTGCAAATGATTGAAAATAGTACAGATTTAGTTCATTGTTTTTGAAAGAAACTAAATATGTAAAAATAAGTTGACCTGTCTGGCTTTCAGGCTTCGAATATCACATGAGAATGGCCGAATCGATTTGTATAAAAACTTTGTAAATATATTCGTGATATTCCCGGAAAAGATATAGGCTGTTTTCCGCTTCCAAAATCACTAGATTTTATAAGCTTTGATATAATTGTGATACCATTTGAAGGAGCGTCGTTCACATCACATTCCTATCTGGTATTTCGCATGAATAGGAAGTTTTTCCCGGAGGCTGGTGGGTGTGAAACCAACCACGAGATTCGAATACGATAATTTAATGTGACATTAATGGGAGAAAGTGGGCATTAGTAAAAGTTGATTAATCATCATCATTGAGCAAAATGCATGACTAAAACTCCTAAATACAATGCTACCAAGAAAATTGAACTCCCCAGAGGTCGAACAACTCTGAATCCGAACACTTTTGTCGAGTAAATTTTGTCTCAAAAGTTGAACTTTTCTTGAACTCGAACACAATGACTGCCATACTGTTTGGTACGTGATATCTATATTGTTACGCGTGATGCGGCAGTGTTGCTGGATTGGGTTAATTTTCATTTTCAGCTATAATGAAAAGCCCTTTCCTTCAGGCACATTGCCTAGAAACACTTACATAATCTTTTTTGTTACATACAGTAACTGTAACGCCGTTCATACGAGTTTGGCACGTGTATTGAACGAGCCCAGCCGCGCTCAGTTCAACTCTGGCACTCGTTCTGAATGAATCCATGAATAACTTGTTTTTATTCGCTTGTGTATATAAATAACACTTTTATGCATTCATCATAGCGCCTAAGAAGAGTGTTGAGGCTAAGGAACCTCAGAGAAAGCTTGAAAGAGCGACGATTGAGGTAAAAAAGGAAATCATTGCTACGTATAAGATCTACGTGTGTCTATTCTAGCGATCATGTTTGGGATGCGGAAGTCGATTATGTACGATTGCATTGTTTACTTTTTCGTTGTTTTATGTATTAATTACGGCATTAGTTGTGGTGCGTCGCCCTGTGCTACCCAAGTCTTTAGGACCAGAATCTCCTGAAGTTGTGCCGAGCGCCCCGGGGCCTATGATTGCTTTGCTGTCTCCGCGGAAAGGAAGGAAAAGAAAACTTACATCCGAACTTTATTCGGACTTAATCCTCGCCTTCTATGCGGTGATATTCCGTTGTTCAAGGAAATTTTGTAAGAAATTTTTATTTTTATTAAACGGTTTGATGATGGGGAACCCGTCTCTGAGAGTTTTTACCACTCCCACGCGATAGTCGTGACCGCGCGACAGTTCTGACTAACGCATTCAGTCGGCAAACCTCACAGTATTATTCTTTATAGGAAAAAATTGCTTTGGAATTCGAACGTCCTCTAGTAACGAATTGAATTCGAGTTCCGAGGTAACACTTAAATATTTGGATCGAACACTGCGAATGCGTCATATTCGATCCAAATATCTGACTCTCATGACGTTTACCATAAGTTTGTAGTATGTTAAGAGCTCTTTTAGTGTATTATTTGCATATATCGCCTTTATTGGCAATCATCTGTAAAAATAGGTAAAAAATTATCTAACAAAGTAAAGCTTTTCCTATTACGTATAGTTGGTTCATTTCTATTGTCAGTGATGTCATTTTACGTTTTCGCATGTGAGTACAGTCGACCCCCCTATAATTACGGTCCCTATAGTTACGATTCCTATAAAACTACGAAAAAATTGCTACCGGTATCCGTAAAAAATAGTAAAAGTTCCCTATAAACACCTCAAACGTCATCGGGAAGCCGAACTACTTTCCCGCCGTCCGTAGCGCCACGCTACGGAGAGATTTCTATCGTCTGGACAGTATTATATAAATTATATATAAATTAGGTACTGTACATATAATTATATATTAATTATATATAAATTAGGTACTGTATATATAATTATATATTAACTTATTGTAACTTTGTTATAATTAAATATATAATTTCCGCCGTCTAGCGTGGCGCCACGCTACGGAGATTTTTACGCTAACTATCGTCTGTCAGTATGTAAATTAGGTACCGTAAGTCTAATACAGTACTGTAATTTTATACATTTCTTGTGAAAGAAACATTTCTTATTCAACGGCGATTAAAATTATTTATATTAATGATGTCTCCGAAGTTCTACGAAGTTTTCACAGAAAAATAAGTTGTTAGAAATCGGCCGC